TCTTGGATGAGAAGTGAAATGTTTTCAAAGAAAAAACCAAGAAAGTCCTATTACCTTTTGAAAAAAGCACCTTTGGGACTCCCGGTTTGGTTTCCGTCGCCAACAGATGGTCTTTTGGGACCGCCAGCCTCATCGCCCGTAAAGAGCCGTCTCTACAGCTGAGAGACGCTCGAAAAATTCCATCTCCTTGAGGAGACGTGAGATAGAGCCGGCGAGAACAGGTAGAGCCCTCTGCGAACTCCCCAGAGTTTTTTTTTTACTCTTGGGGAGGAAGCAGAATGTGGCTCCCTATTCAGCTCGCTGCTGCTCCGGGGGTCGGGGGAACTCTGCTTTTTGCAGAGCCAGGTGATGGGACCAATCCAATCAACGAAATCTAACAGATTGTCTGAACAAACAGGATGAAACCCAGATTTGGGACCCTAAATCGCAAGTATTTCTAACAATCCTATGAGTGATTTTAAAAGTGAAGAAAGAAAGTTTAAAATGGCGACTGGCTGAGGCTTGAGAAGAAGAAAGCTGAAAGCAAAAGTCCTTCTGTTTGAATAGTTTAATACGTTACAAAGTATCTGAAATAATAGCTGGCTAGAATTGAAGAGAAAAATTTCTATTTCATGTTTCTTCCTTCTTAGAGACTTGATATTGATATCGTTTGTAGAAAAGTCTTTTTTCTTAAAAAGAGTTTGTTTGTGTGGCAGAATGGCATTAAAACTGACAAAGCCAGACAACCAAGCTGCGGGGGGGGGGGGGTCCCCCATTTACAAATCATATGAGCAAGTTTTGAGCTTGCAGATTCAGAAGAATGGCTTTAAAGACCTAAAGGAATTTGTTTTGGAGGAGATGGCAAGACATGATGAGATTGTGAACCAGAATCTTGAAAAATTCAGGCAGGAAATTAAAGAGTTGGTACAACGAAAGTATGATAATCTGAAACAACAGATTGTAACAGCTTTGAAAAGCTTTTCAGAAATAGTTATAAAGATGGATAAAGATACCAACTTAGAAATAGAGTCTAAAATGAAGGAAGCTGATTATAAAATTTATAATCTGGACAATAAAATACAAAGAATTGAAAATGATTTGATAAATATTCAAGAAAATAGCTCAGAAGTAAAGTCTAAAATAAAGGAAGCTGACCACAAGACTTACAATGCAGATAATATAAAACAAAGGATTGAAAAAGAAGTCACAATGATGCAATATAGGTCTATGGAATTTGCGGTCAGAATGAGGGGAATACAGGAAAATAACAGAGATGACTTGAGAAAGATGTCTGCTGAAGTTCTGGCTGTGATTTTAAAGGTTAGTCCTGAAGAGGTATCCTGTAAGATTGATAAGGCCTACAGAATAAATTCTTGGGTTGCAAAGCAAAGGCAGTTGCCTAGAGATGTGGTGATTTACTTTACTGATAAAGGAATAAGAAATGATATTGTGCAAAAGTCTTTTAACTCCACTCTAGAAATGAATGGAAGGAAGATTTGGATATATAAAGAGCTGCCGTCCAAGATGTTGAAAGATAGAAAGGAATTTGGATTTTTGGTGACTGAGCTAAAGAAACAAAACATCCCATTTAGGTGGGATGCTCCAGTTGGTATAATATTGAGATACCAAGGAGAAAGATATCAACTAAATACTGTTGAAAAAGCGGAATAATTTTACTACAAGGTTTTTAAAATGGATCCTACATCTCCACGTATGCCATCAGTGTTAGGAACACAGGAGGGGAATAAAGAAAAGCAAAATGAACAAGAGATTGAAACTCAGGCTAAGCAGATGGAGATGGAGGTAATAGAAAAACAACAAGTTACAGGGGAAAATTTGTATTTGAAAAACTTTTTCAATAAAAAAAAAAGAAAAGAAAAAAGCACCTTTGGGACAACCATGACTTAGAATGATTGAGAATCTCCATAGATATTAGAATAATTTATTTACCTCATTGATAGGTTTCTGAATACATGAAACATATTTAGCATTATGAAATATACCAGTGTATAATTATCTCAGAAATAATATATGATTTTTTTAAAAAGATATGGATGGATGTTTCATATCACCAATAATATATTTATAAATAATATTTATAAACATTACTTAAAGATCTTGCAGAGATCTCATGAACCACAAAATCAAAGATATAAGAAAGCACGCTCTAGTAATTTGTTACCTAGATTATGTATCATAAAAGATACCTTTGAAAATATTCTCAAAATTTCATTTAAAAATAACCTTTCACACCAGATGTTGTTAAGCAATGACCATAATGATTACTAGCATTCCCAAAAACTGTATTTCTTTGCAGTTATGATTATTATGGACCAATATATCTGAAAGCTGCCAGTTCGGGGGAAATGGAATTAGCATATAATGTTAAAAATAATAACAGCGCACAATTACTGTCCACATTTTGTGCTACATTTGTAACTTCCCCAGCCCAATGCAAAGTCTGTAATATCCTTTAAGGTTCTTCATTATGCTGAAGGCTCAGTATTTCATGCTTCAATTTAATTTAAAGTTATCACCTCAGGCCATTTCTGAATGCTACCCTATACTAAGATTACAGGTGATTTATTCATGAGCAGACTGTAGTTGATCCCAAGTTATGAAATATGTTTCCTAGAGAGAGATACAATGCTGATATAGATTTCTTGTTCTATTTTTAAAATTCTCTTATGCCTTTCAACACTTCAAAATTCAGACTGAATCTATTGTACCACTTCTTTTGTTAATCCTTGGTTCTGAATTGGCTGACATTCTTCTTGTTTTTAAAATGTGGTTGCTGTTCCATACTTTGTAAGTTATTTTATGATTTCTATTGCAAGTTAATTTATAATTGTGGATATGGCTTATTCAACCCTAAATCACACATTATTGTTAAAGATATGCTTCTCCTTGTTTAAATACATGTAATGGCATATATAAAAAATGCTGTCAGAGTATATTCATCAACTGAAATAGAACATGGTGACAAGATCAGCCAATGAATAGGCATAGCAACTAAGTCAGCCAATTGGGAGGTGAGACAGACTGGAGCCGGGGCGTGTCTTAGTCTGCAGCTTCTGAGTGCTGAGAATTGAAAGTGAAACTAGTCTCTCTACTGCTGCTGTACTCTGTGTGTGTGTTAAGCTCTGAGCTGTGAAGCTGTGTTTGTGAATATGTCTGCTGATCTGAGTTGAAGAATCAACTGTTGGTATTGTAAATATACTTTATGTGTTATTATGAATATAAAGAAGTTAGTGAATCCAGCTGATTCAGTTATCTGTGTGTGTTTCTGGATTTGATTTTTGCAAGAAACTATGACAAATGGAATTAACATTAATACTTGGAATTAACATTAATACTTCCCAACATAGGAATTCATCCAGGCATCCAGAACTGTGGATGCCTGGATGAATTTTTGTGGAGATGAAGATCAGCCAAAACACTTATGTGATAGTGGAAGGCAAAAAGTAAAATTGACTGCAGCAATGGATTCTTGATATCTATCATATTTTTTAAAAATTAACATTTCAATTATTTCTTCCTCCTCCCCCCCAAAAGGGACTTAAAAGGGATTTTTGTTTAAAAGTCTAGTCAATCTCTTGTAGTTTTGAAGCTTTATTGTTTTATAGTGCTTTTGTATTTTTATATCTATTTATTACTGTTTTCATTGTTACATATATATTACATTAACATTACAGTGTGTGTGTGTGTGTATATTGCTATAAGATTGTACCAGTGGTGGGTTCCTCCCGGTTCGGCTTAGTTCGGCCAAGCCAGTAGCAATGACGATATGACATCACTGAACCGGTTCTCTTTGTTTGGGGGCTGAGTCCCCCTGCCCCCGCTCCCCCCCCCCCCTTTTTCTTTCCTTTTTTTTTGGCCCCACCCCAAATCAATTGCTGCCTCCCGAGTCCCAGCTGATTGGCTAGAAGGAAAAAACTGTTTAAACTCTTGCTGTGGGGCTTCAAAGGGCTGCCCTACAGCTGATCAGTGTTAAAAGGCAGTGTGGTGGTAGACCAGTGCCTCCAAAAACAAATGAGTAGACTGGTGCCTCCAAAAATAAATGAGTAGACTGGTGCCTCCAAAAACAAATGAGTAGACCGGTGCCTCCAAAAACAAATGAGTAGACCGTTACAGCGCTGCAAGCAGTTAAAAGCCTGGTAGACCAGTATCTCTGCTAAATGACCTACCCCCTGAGATACGCACGATATCAGACCTCCGGACTTTTCGTCGGGCCCTGAAAACACACTTATTCCATCTAGCCGGGCTGGCTTGATCCCATCCTCTCAGTTTTAATTGAATTCGGTTTTAATTGGGTTGTTTTAAATTTTGGGCCGAAATTATTTAATTGTTTTTTAAATTGTTTTTAAATTTTATATGCTATGTTTTATCTCGGCTGTACACTGCCCTGAGTCCCGCAGGAGAAGGGCGGTATAAACATAAACATAAACATAAACATAAACATAAACATAAACATAAACATAAACATAAACATAAACATAAACATAAACATAAACATAAACATAAAATATCCTAAAGAATTGTCACATGATCATCAAGCCATGCCCACTAAATAAGCAATGTCCACAGAACCAGTAGTAAAACATTTTAGAATCCACCCCTGGATTGTACATATTGATTATTTTGATTTAGCACTGATTTTATTGTTTAAATTTTTCCTCTATATATTGCATTGTAAACTTCAACCTCAGGATGGCTGAAGAATTAAATGTGTAATGAAATAACCATTATTATGAATAAGTAGACAATTGTATAAGAATTACTGATAAATTATCTGCTAAGTAGTAAATGTATTTTGATGACCAAAGTTAGGGGAATGAAAGCAAAAATAGTTTCTCCCCTGTTTCTTAGTTATTGTGGTATTGGAGTGTTGGAGTTAGTTAGTTTCTTTGCTGTATGGAAATAAAGTATGAAAAAAAAAGTAAAATATATTCAACACATCATAAGCTTAAAGAAAAAAAAATATCAGGGAAAAAAAATCAATAAAATGGAGAATTACATACCACTATTTGTGTTTGTTGAGGTCCTTCTCCTTCTTCCACCCTACAAAACAAGATTCCATACAGCAAGCGTTATAGCTCCACTTACTATGAAGTCAGTGGCAAAAAGTTTATTGGAGGTATATAAATATATATTTCAGCAGTGTTTTCACTTTTTCCCATTCTTGAGCAACAGCACATGATTTCTGAAAGTAGCAATCCTCAAAATGATAACTACCTTATAAGCATTTTTTTAAAGTCCTACTTCAGAGGTGGAGATTTAAGCAAGGTGAGAAAGAGGAAGCCATCAGCAAGGTATGCAGACTTTTTAATATTGCACTTGTGTCTATTTAGCAATATCACATAGTCTTATATACCACTTTATAGTGCTTTACAGCCCTAAGTGGTTTACAGAATCAGCATATTGCCCCCAACAATCAGGGTCCTCATTTTAACAACCATGGAAGGATGGAAGACTGCGTCAACCTTGAGCCAGTAAGGATCGAACCTCTGGCAGTGAGCAGTGCAGTAACCTACAATACTGCATTCTAACCATCATGACTCTTAAGGAGGTTTATCATCTTCTTTCATACAAACCAAATACTATAAGCAAGCCAGTGGTGGGTGGTATATAGAGGAGGAGGGAAGTGGGATCTTTTAATTCAGCAATAAATATAAATATAAATCTGTTGTGACTCCGACCCCCGAGCCTGTTTTATCGGAGGGAGAAGACTCCGAAAGTGAAGGAGAGGAGTTGGCAAGGCCTCCCTCTCCAGGACACTCCTCTCTGGCAATGCCTCAGGTGTGTTCCGAAGGAGAAGAAATAGGCCAGGAGCCAGGCATTTCTGAGCAGCCGCAGTTAGACAGCAACGGAGATAAGTCTTGGCTGGATTCCCAACAACGTCGGAAAGACAAGCGCATGCCGCAGAGAAGGAGGCGTGCCAGAGATTAAGCTGAGTCACTGGACCACACCCCACAGGGTATAAAAGGGGGTGTGGTGGCCATTCAGGCTTTGTGATGGACAAAACTGAAAGCTAGCAAGTCATTCTGCATTTCTGGAACTTTGTTATATGCTCTGCTTGGACTGATTTTTTGGACTGGACTTGACTATTCTTTGGCTTTTGTGGACTTTGATGTTTTCGGTCGGAGGAGATAAACCTCCCTTTGTAAGTAAAAAACTGTTGGCAAGCAGCCACTGGGTTGCTGCCAATTCTGTTATCAAAGGAAATTCTTGTCTGCTGGTTTATTTTAACTCTTGATCGACTGCTGGTGTGCGTGTGTGAGACGGGGACAGAACATAATCTCAAATAACATGGATGTTTTATTTTATATTCTGCTTTTAATTTATCCAATGGCTAAGTCTTTTTGTTACGTGAGTGCTCTTCCAGGCTCTTGCTCATTCAACATTAGTGGGCAGCTTTGAGTGCCAATTACATTTCTTAAGCTATAAGCTTTTTTATGATGACAAGGGCCTAGTACAGGGGTCGGCAACCTTAAACACTCAAAGAGCCACAAAGGTCCTAACTGGAAGCCCCCGTTCAATTCTGGAGCCAACAGGAAGTCCGGTTCCCCCATCATAGTCTCCTCCTAACGCGGCGTCCTTTTTCCTCTGCTGACCGGAAGTCCGGTTCCCCCACCATACAATCTCCTCCTAGAGCAGCATCCTTTTTCCTCTACCTGTCCTAACCAAAAACCCTATCCTAACCAAAAACCCTATCAATTGTGGAGCCAACCGGCAACAGGGAACCACAGCAGAGGGATAAAAGAGCCACATGCAGCTCCAGAGCCACAGGTTGCTGACCCCTGGCCTACTACCAGAGCTGCTCAGAGCCAATACCCAGTCTGTGAAAAGTAGTAACAATTTTTAGCATATAGTGTCAAATAGTAATTGTGGACTAGAGGAGCTACCATAAAAATGGTTAGGGCAGAGGTATAAGAACAAAAAGAGGGCCTCTTATGCATGGCTTGGGAAAAGACAGCAGTCAGTTTATACAAATTTGTATGTTTAGGTATGAATTTTGTTTTAATAGAAAAATGTTCTTCAGTATACTATCCAGATCAGGGGTGTCAAATTCGCACCCCAAGGGCCAGATGTATCACATGCTGGCCCACTCACACCCAGTTTAGCGAAGGGAAAAAAGTCAGGGTATGTTACGTGATGAGGCCGTGATGACACGGGTTTGACACCCAATCTAGATGCTAAGTACCTGAGTGATTTTTTTTTAATTTCTCACAATTAACTTTGTTATATTTGAACAAAATAGTTGTCAAAATAGAGGACGTCTTCAAATAAAGAGCTGTCCTTAGAGCTCAGTGGATAAAAGTAAGATAGTGTATTTTCATATTTGAAGATAGACACACACACAAACACACAAATACAAACACACACACAGTAATTTTTCAGTCTGTGTACCTCAACTGGGCTAATTTACACAAAATTTGGGACCCATTATTCCTGTGGGATTGAAATTTAGCAAAGCTATGGCTGGTTCAGCACCACTGTGCCTTCCAACTGCAAACTGGAGCAAGGGAAGATGAGAGGGACATCTCTCCACCCTCTTTCCTGCCTCTCTCTGGCCCCTGCACCCACTGAAATCCCTTAATGGCAGCAGGAGGCAATGGAAGAACTTGGGTGGCTACTGGTGAGGTAGGGCTATTAGGGGGCATTGGCGCTTGACATGTGAGCCCTCTTTCATGCTTGAAGAAGGGGGATCTTGGGGACATGCCAGTATGGGGAATAGGGGTGCAGTTTTCCTCATGGTCTGCACCTCCATTTGCTTTAACTCCCCAGCAAAGTGGCAGGCAGTTTCATGGATTAACCAAGGAAGGAGTGAGGGAGAAGAGATTTCCAATGCTCCCTGCAAGCTTCCCGTAAGCAAAGTCAATAGGGAAACTAACAGGAAGTCGAAATCACAACTGTTCTTACTGCTCCTATGGATGGTCGTTCTGTTTCTCTGTTTAGGTTAGGAAATACTTATCTCTGAAAGGATGACCCTATCGGTCATGGGTTATCTAGGGAGAACCTAAAAGTTCTGATCAACTTTATTTATTAGAAGGAAAATTAAGGTTACATTACAAGAATTCCAACAAGGACCTGTTTTCAAGTGAGACATTCATTTATGGTAAACCTTAGGCCAGCAAAACTGGGGAAAGGTTTCCAAACCTGTCTCTTTTGGGAAGTTGGGGCAGTCCCTAATCTCTGCTCTAATGACCATGGTCCCTTCCTTTAATACTATGAGAAAGGACTCCCACTTATACATATATGATCTGGTTTGCACTGCCTACTGTTTTTTCTTTTGTTTTTCCTCCTGGGGTGGTTATCTTAAATTCAGAGTTTTCATTTTTCAGGTAAATACAATAGGGAGGAGGAAACTCTGTGTGTATCTATGTATAATATACACACACCAGTTTATATACTACACCAGAAGCATACATAATATTATTACATATGTACCATTTACTGTAAGGCTGTATAATAGAATAGTGTCTTATCATATTCCCTAATATTTTGTTTTTGCATATTGAATCAGTTGTAATACTATAGCAATAGCACTTAGATTTATATACTGCTTCACAGGGTTTTACAGCCCTCTCTAAGCGGTTTACAGAGTCAGACTATGGCCCCCAACAATCTGGGTCCTCATTTTACTCACCTTGGAAGGATGGAAGGCTGAATCAACCTTGAGCCTGGTGAGAATCGAACTGCCAAATTGCAGGCAGCTGGCAGTCAGCAGAAGTAGCCTGCAGTAATGAATTCTAACCACTGCGCCACCACAACTCTTATATTACATACTATGCATTTTCAATAGACTGTTCTGTTTTTATTTAAAATGTACCCTTTCTTTCTGGGGAGTTGTTTTAATTTCAGGTAAACATGACATTTGTAAATAAAAGTCTATTTATTTCGAGTGGAGGGTAGCTTTTCTTCAGGAAATTGGTAGGTAGAGCAATAGGAATAGAAAAGCATAAAATTGTATTAGGAAACGGTCATTATATATATCTGTGTATGCACACAAACGCATACACATAATGCATTTGTTCTTTTTTCTTAAGAGAAATATACGCTATGAATATTTGAAGCTTCATTGTACGGAATGCTGCATTGAAAGTCAGGAAAAATAATAGGTTGGAAATTTGAAAAGGCCAAACAAAGATTTGATAGTTCAATCTTGGAAATGTTTATTCCACTCACTCCCAATAATGGAGCCTATTCATTGTCAGCCACTGTAACAGTAGCTACTGGTAATAAAGGGTTGACTTCCGAGCTGGAGGTTTCTACATGATTATTGCTCTATGGTATAGATTCTCAGTCAAAGAAATTAGTGTCGTATCTTAAATAAAATAGATCCTTTAAACAGTTGAATTTACACAGGGTATAAATATCCACTTTTATTCACACCTAATTTGGACTTCAATTGGCAAGAAAATGACCACAAGCTTCAAAACAGATTGCTAGCTAACATGTTAAACATGTGATATGTGAGAAATTACAAAATGCTTCATATCTGCTATGTGTGTGTTGTGCCATCTGCTTACCTCAGAAGTGTGGTAAGCTTTGGGGTTTTATTTCTTATTTATTTATTGGTGGAAAAGTTGCAGCTCTAATCTTTTCTTTAAGTTCATGTTGTCATTAATAGCATAGCAAAGCAGAGCATGGTGTAATCGTAAAGATTCTAGACCAGTGATGGTGAATCTTTTAGACACCGAATGCCCAAACTGTGCACTCGTGCATGCCCAAACTGAAAGGGGTGTGCGCGTGTGTGAACACATGCATGCACCAACATGTATGTGCATGCGCCAACATGCGCCAACATGTACACAAACCTGCACCGACATGCACAGCAGAGACCCAAAGACACCAGCAGCGCAGCAAGAGGTAAGATCTTTTTCTTTTGTGAGCTTCTGGTTCGTTGTTTGCAGGGAAACAGAAGCTCATGAAAGAAACGCCATGGAGATCTGACCTGGGGCAATGGTGCACGTGCCAGCAGAGAGGCTCTGCGTGCCCCCTCTGTATGCCATAGTTTCGCCATCACGGTTCTAGACTAAACTGAGGAGATTCGGGTT